GAAGAGGTTATATGATGCAGAGGAAAGAGTACTAAGTATGAATTTGAAGATTTGGGTCCAATTTCTGACTCTTCTGGTGCCCTATGCCCCATCAGTAAAAGCAAGGCAAAAATACTTGGTCTCTCCATGCCACAGCTTGTTGTAAGGATGAAATGAAATGACACAAAAGATTACACCCTTTCAGGAGCGGTGTGTCACCTATGTCTCTGCAGGGCCTGGGTCTTGGCGCTTAGAGAGGAAATATCTATCTCCTTTTATGCATCTCAGTGTAGGCATTTGTTTATTATTTGGTGTTTTCATTTTAAAGCCTAGAGGGATTTAAGAGGTATGTTCATTTCTTTACCTTGTTTTTAGTCTACCTAAAGCTTCAAGATGATTCCTAATGATCTATATGGTGTCAGGTGTTGTAGCTAACAGGGCCTAAGGCCTACTGCAGACAGCAAGGTCTGCAGGTGTCAGGGTGAGAAAACCCTGAGTGAGGCTGTGGTCACCAGAGGCCTAGAGCGGAGCTGCTGAGTAGCCTGTCAGCCGGTGCCTTCTCGCCTGTACTGGGAGTATAAACGCTTAGCTGAGCTTTTTGAGCTCTTCTACCAGAAACATGATGTGAATTGTATATGCAATTTAAGGTTTTTCTAGTAGCCACCTTTAGAAAAAAAGGTAAAAGCTAGTAGGATTAATTTTAATGATATATTTCATTTAACTCATATCGAAAACCGTATTTCAATATGTAATCAATATGAAAAAGTTAAAGAGATCATTTTTTTCAACTATTTGAATCTGGAGTGTATTTTACTATGAGAACGCATCGCAGGATCAGTGAGTTGAAGGACTCAACAGACCTGGCCACCATGTCAGACAGACAGCACAGCCTGGGGGGCAGGAGAGGGACAGGTAAACAGGGAGAGAAGGGACAGGCCCTGGCATTGCGTGCACATCACGGGTGGCCTGGCACGGGCAAGACTCACTTGAGGTGGTAGACAAAATATCAGTTCTACTTTTATTTAAAATGTGAGCACTTCAGGGCTCTCTCTGAAGGTGCAGCAGGTTAGAGCTCAGTATTGTGGAGCTCTCTGCAGCCACCACAGCTCAAGTTTCATCCTTTGCCAAGGAGGTAACCACCCACATGGTCCGGCAGACCTCTCCTGGCCCTCCTGCTGCTCCCCTCAGCAGTGTACTTGGTCATCTGCCTGTTCTGCTCCCCACTCCATCTCTGGTGAAGCCTCTCGCCCCCACCCCACATCTCTGCCTCTACCCCAGTTCTTGTATGCATAAGTAAATCTGTAAAAAAAATTGAACATTTTAAATTTATTTACATTAATTTTGACTTAAAAATTGCATCAAAATGGACAAGAAAAGTATTTTACATGAAAAATAGCCCCCAGTAGCTTATTTATCATTAAGTAATGCAAATGTTCACTCAATAGAAAAAAAAAATCGCATCAAAATATTCATTATCTTAATCACTGAGTGTTTTGCCATCTCCAGCTATGACTCTGCACAAGGCAAGGTCCCAGCCCTGGCACCAGTCTCAGACCTCATGTACCTGGACCGTGCATCAAAACCAGGGTGAATGAACTCTTAACTCACTACACCTTGGGCACTCATTTTGTTAAATGAATTTACAATTAACTCAAATTAGAAATGAGAAAACATTGATAAACAAATTTAAATTCAAACTCAATCAGTGTACTGAAAATTTTAAACCTATTTAGGGATCAAACCACACCTGAGGATAGGGTTCATTGACTCTGGTTCTCTGGTCAAAGTGATCCTTAAACACTGAGGAGTGGGAATGAAAACTAGAGTCGTTGAGAAGAGTCTCTCCGAAGCCTCATTTCCTTCCACTGTTTTAGCTTTAACCTCCATTTCTTCTAGGATCAGTCTCTGAGGTCTCTGTTTACAATGGTTATGTTCTGAACTTGTTTTAAAGATTTATTTATTTATGCATACAGAACTGGGGTACAGGCCAGAGGTGCAGGGGCAGTGAGAGGATACACCAGAGACAGAGTGGGGAACATAACAGGCAGATCTATGAAGTACACTGCTGAGGGGAGCAGCAGGCAGTCAGGAGAGGTCTGCCAGGCACCATGTGGGTCACCTCCGGGGCGGGGATAGAACTCATGCTGAAATGGCTTTAGTTTCTTACTGCTGTGCTTTAATCCGCTGCACCAGGAGAGAAGGTTTTTTATTGAAAATAATTCTAGTGATGGAAGAAAGGGAAAGTATGGCTTATTAAAATGCTGCCTATTTTCAAACAACATCCTTTTCTTTCTTTTAGGGAACTCAGAAACAAAGGAGATATTGAATTTGGAGATAATGGAACAACAATAGCTGCTGTTAGCAACAAAGCCTACATTTTTGAACGAAACCAATCTGTTGGAGATCCCAAAATTGACTTAATTAGAACATTAAACATTCCTGCAGTGGTAAGTAAGCATTTTAACTATAATTACAGGCAAAAAAAAAGGAGCTAGGATAAGACTTTTCCTTCCCTTTAACATCTTTTTTCTTTGCTTTGTAACTTTTAAATTTCCTTCCTTTCTTTAAAGGTCACTAAGATTTCCCCCCCCTGAAGTCTTTTTAAAAAGGTCTTTTCAAAAAAATAAAAAGGTCTTTTCAAATTATGACAAAATGCAAATTCTAGAATATTATTTTCCCAGTTTCTTGTTTTGTGTTTAGGAACAGCATATGTGCAAGTAAACTTGTCCCTAAAATTTTTGGGGGATAGCTACTTATTTTTTTAAATACTTATTTGCTACTTGTTTTGGTCCAGAAACTCTAGCAATAGAATTTACATACCACTTCTTAGTTTAGATTTCTGCCTTGGATGCATTAACCTTTCTAAATAAGCATAAATGAGTCCTTAATTACAATGTAGCCTGATCTCATTAGACTCCCTCTCTTGTAATGACACGCTGAGATCCACCTGTACCAACCACCTGTACCAACACCGTCTGAGGCTCCCACTTTAACTCCTAATTGACCAGTGCTTATGACGGGGTCACTGTTGGTGGACCCAGGATCTAGAAAGTATTAGATCCCAGACTTAGCCCTTATGATAAGGGTCTAACCTCTAATGTAAAATGAAGAGGAAGTGGTGCCCCCTGGTGGTCAAATATGCTAATGTTACTTACAAGAGCCCTTGCAAACGTGTCTCCTGCCCTGCAGATATAACCGAGATGCATATGGGAATATGAAGCCCACACTTCACAAACTATAAGACTGAGGAAGGTTGTAACTGAAGAGTCATACTCTTGAATGTGCAGCCAGAAAGGAGCTTGCTGGCTGAATGTTCGGCTATGTGATGTCAATAGTTTCACTTAGCAATAGCCTAATTTCATAGGGTTGTCTACTGCAGTTCCACTGGATATAACACCCTTGGACTTCAGTAGTTACATTTGCTAAGGGTGCTGCCGGAGACAGAGGGATGGGGATGCTGCTATCTGAATTTGCCTTTGCTCTTCAGACTGCCATGGAATGGTTCTCTATCCACTTTTTACGGGAGATCATTGAGGGTCTGTTGAAGGCCTATCAGCAGAAGCTCTTTGTGACCCACACTGTCCATGAGCTGCTCTGGGGATACAAGGATGAGATCATGTCCCTTGTCCATATCTTCAAACCTGAGATACCAGCCTATTTTGGCCTATTCTATGGGGTAAGTGAGTTTTGTTTGTTTTTTTTGTTGTGGTTTTTTTTTTCAGTCTCAAGACTTTTTAGTGTCTCAGTTCAACTAGGGGGATGACTCCCAAGTCAGAGTTCATCTTCACTCTGGGTTTCTTCTAGGAGAACAGAATTGCTTGGGATTTAGATGAGTTGTAAGGTATGTGATAAATAAGAAAATTAAAAAAAACCTCTCCCACAATTTTAACACACTGTCGGCACTGACTGAATGAACATAGCTCTGATCAGGCCATTAATCAGGTGTGCATGATACTTTATAAAGTATCACCGATCAGCGACTGATGTTAAGTTTCATTTCAAGGACTTGGGGTCCAAACCCATGGATCAGCCTGATGAGATAAATGAAAATGAGAAACTAAATAGGGATGTTTAGTGATGGATTAAGCTACTTGTTGGATTTTCAGACATGGCATCTGTGATGGTTTGAGCTCTATGTGTCCCTCATCTGTGATTCCTGGGAAGTAGAATTTTATGCTCTTCTTGGAGGATTTTATTTACTTTGGCTTAAAACCAAAAATATCAGTATTTAGAAAATTCTTATTCAAAGCATAGGTTATTGCTGTCTGAGTTTCAAGTGGATTAGAATGTAAAGCCGTACAAATATCTACATCACCCCAGTGGCTATAGTATTGGGAAGTTAGTAAGTGATTAACTTGAAGAAGCGATCATGATGAGTGTCCTCATTTTTAAATATTTAGCTGTTCTCTAAACTACTGAAGAGTCTCACCTTCATCACAGACCTCCAGAACATTTCAATTCTTCTGGGATAAAAGGTGGTAATATTGCCCCTGTGCTTTCAAAGCTATACAAAACTTAGAATTCGTTTAGTTAATAGTAAACAGATTTTTACCATTATTAATCAAGGGACAGGGTTCGGGTTGTAGGGTCCCACCAACCCTCAGTCCTTCACATTGGCGAGCAGACCCTGCCTAGATGTGCCTAGAAGGCCCTCCCGCGGTTTCCATAGGACCAGAACCTAAGCTGTGACTAGCCCTCCCTTCTGGTCTGGAGAGTTTCCAGTGGAGGGAGTTAGCAGTTCCCTCGAGGCTCTTCTGGTCTAGTAGCTTCTGACCATCAGCCAGGCAGATCTTCCAACACATCTGGAAACCTAGGAACATTTTCAGTATATCTCAGATCAAGTTCATCATATGGCTTACATTTTTGGTTTTTATGTCATTGACCTCCTCGGACTTACAGCTAATGTTTTTATATATAATTTTTTAAATGTAGCCCACATCTACAGACTGGTAAAGGATTGACATATTGCTCTCCCAGGGCAAGGGTGTGTGGTTTTATTTTTCTAATTTTTTCTTTCTTTGCCTCTCTTCACAAGTTCCACTATCTCTCTACAAGGCCCCACTAGTGAAAAGTCCCATCATAGTGTTGATTTAAGATAATACCTTGAGTGGATTTCTCATACCTAGGAAAGAAGCATGAGACTTAGGATCAGAGAGGCTAGATTAGCATTCTGATTTTTTCATTTAATAACCAGAAATCTTTCCTGAACTTCAGTTCCATCATTTGTAATTTGAGGCTAGAAGTACTCCTACTTTAAGCAGTTTTGAAAGGCCATGTGAGAAGACGGTAGAAGTGCTTTGCAAACTGTAAATTGCAGCACACATTTCAATGCCTGTTGTTCTTTTCCGATTCAAAAAAATGATCCTAAATTAATATGAATGATTAGTGTGGTTTGTTTCTCCTTTGGAGCCAAATAAACTCCCTGCAGTGTTATTGGTAAAAGGCAGTATCTTTGTTTGGTTTTTCATTTGCTCTGGCCAAATACTCACTGTGGCCAGTGACATAAAAGTTCACTTATTCAAAGACCAGGATAGTCTGTACGGGTGCACTCACCCTGCTTCTGCACCTACCTAAGTCTGGTCTCACATCTTACCCCAGTCCTGGGGGGCCCTGTGCCTCTTCTGTCTGCTCCACTCCATACTGGCTAAAGAAAACTTTAGTTAGCACTGTGTAGCACTTTTCTCTCAAACATTTAAAGATGAACCCAAACAATGGGGAGGGCAGCGTCTACGGATGAGTAGAGCGAGGTGTTTGTGCAGCTGGGGGTGGGCACAGAGCTCCCAAGCACAGGAGCCCAGCTGAGCAGCAACTGCTCTTACTGCTCTTATTTGCATCTTACAACACCAAGCAACATATCTGCACCCACTGATTTTAGCCTGTCTCTGTTAGCATAAGAGAGCAGTGTGCTCAGGGACTATGGTTCTTGAATGTAAGAATCACAGCTGTTGGGAAGCACCTTTGAGAGCTCAGCCAGTCCAGCGATCCTGCCAGGCCTGGGCTGTGCGGGTGTGTGTGCCGCTTGTGTGCATGAGAGGTGGTCCCAGTCTCACGTGTCTGTATGGAAGAATGCTTTCAACTTCCCCCGGTAATATATTCCTGTGCCCAGCCTGCATCCCTAGTACAATACAGGAAATCTTTTTATCTTTAAAATGAACTGATTGAAACATCTGGTCACGTCTACAGAATGCATAAACATCTATCTGGTTTGACCAGACACGTAGGCACCGTACTCAAGCCAAGTTGACATATAAAACTAACCAGCATAGTTGTCTAAGTGATTAGTGTTCACTTATTTTCAGAAAAATGGGACCAATGATGGAGACTATGTTTTTCTGACTGGAGAAGACAGTTACCTTAACTTCACAAAGATTGTTCAATGGAATGGAAAAATGTAAGTCTAATGATTTATGACTAACCATTTTTTCACATTGTTCATTTTGTTACCTGTCTCTTAGCATGTTCCCTTAAAAAAATTTTTTTGGCCCCCACCCCCCACCGGTGGCGCAGTGGGTTGAAGCACAGCACTGAGAAGCTAAAGCCACTTTTGCATGAGTTTGATCCCCATTCGAGAGGTGACCCACATGGCGTGGCAGACCTCTTCTGACCTGCCCGCTGCTCCCCTCAGCAGTGTATTTCACGATCTGCCTGTTCTGCTCCCCACTCTGTTCCTGGTGAATCCTCTCACCCTCCGCATCTCTGGCCTGTAGCCCAGTTCTGTATGAATAAATAAGTCTTTAAAAAAAAAAGGTTTAAAAAAATTTTTTTATTTGCAGAATTATTTTAATTGGGAAGTCACTTGTATTTATCTGTGTTTTCTCCTTTTTTCCTCTCAGTTTTCCCTGTGTTGCAGGATTTTATTTAAAGATTTATTTATTTATGCATACAAGAACTGGGTTTCAGGCCAAAGGAGCAGGGCTGAGAGGATTCACCAGAGACAGAGTGGGGAGAAGAACAGGAGATTGACTGAAATACACTGCTGCAGGGAGCAGCGGGCAGGACAGGAGAGGTCGGAGGTGGAACTCCTGCTGCAGTGGCTGCAGATAACTTCATAGTGCTGCGACTTAACCCCTTGAGCTCCCAGGAAAGCCTTCCTGTGTCACAGTTTTGCAGTTATAGCTGAGTAGCTAACCCCATAGCCCCGAGTCCAGAACCCGTAGACAAGGAGGATCCCCACCCCAGTATGTTGGGGTAGTCACATATTCCACCAAAGAGGCAGCAGGCAGCCTGACTCAGGTTCCACCTGGGGTCTGAGTCTGCATCTTCCTTCCCACCCCCTCTCCCCCAGCTCCACACTTTTCTTACTCCAACAGCAGAAAAAAGCTGCTTTTTTTTTTTGCCTTTCCTGATGAGCAGGGAAACTCCCGCTCCCCTAAGCCCTGATTCCAAGCCCTTGGTGAACCTCTTTTAATTTCCCTTCACCTCAGGAGCTTCTGGTTCTCTTGCTTGCTTCCGCATTTGCAGCCTAATGAGCCAGTAACTTCATTTCTACTCACATTTTGTATTCATCACCTTTTTATTGTCTAGGGAGATGTTTATGTTTGAGTAAATTGTCGACCTTCTTTTCCTTTCTTTGTTTGACAAAGTAAAGATGTTTATTTCAGGAGCATCCTCAAACTACATCAGAGAAGTGACTTTCTAAGTGTTTTTATCAACCGTTGCTCTGTGTTTTCACATGGAAGAGGCCCTCAACTAATCACCAGAAGTTGGGAGTGGTACTTATTAACCATCCTTGCTTTTCATTGGTGTTTTGTACTACTATTCAAAAAATTTAATAAAGAAGACCCTCTAAGTCAACTTTTAGGGAACATGGTGTCACTTCAACATTAAGCTATTTTACCATCCAAGAGATCTCCGTTGTTAATTTTGGAACAGAGAACTGGTCCAAAGGGAGACAGAATTGCTGCTCTGTCATGAATTCTAAAGTGCCGGGCAGATCTACCCAGAGTATGCCTGTCAGTGAACTGTGAACAAAACTACTGTTTATGCTAAAATGGATTCTACTTTAAGAAAATTGATATTTCCAAATCTCTATGTAAATTTTTTTTTTTTTTTTGATGAAGAAGTGGTTTTTAGCTACTGCCTCTATCAAAACTGAGGATCAGGGGCCTAGGTTTTGTTTTTTTGTTTTTGTTTTATTTTTAAGAACTGGGGGATAGGCCAGAGGTGTAGTGAGAGGCTTCAGCAGAGACAGAGCGGGGAGCAGAACAGGCAGATTGACAAAGTACACTGCTGAGGAGAGCAGCGGACGGGTCAGGAGAGGTCTGCCAGGCCAGGCCTAGTTTTTCTCCTTTGTTCCATTCACTATCCAGCTTCACCCATTAGCTGCTTGTCAATAAGATTCTATGGGTAGAACTTGCCTAGTCAAGTCCTGAAAATGACAGACCATTTGAAAACATCTAACATGAAACTTGACCAACTTGACTCTTTCTTGTGTTTATCAATTACAGGTCGCTTGACTGGTGGACAACTGACAAGTGCAACATGATTAATGGAACAGACGGAGATTCTTTCCACCCATTGATAAACAAAGAAGAAATCCTTTATGTCTTCCCATCTGAATTTTGCAGGTGAAAACTAAATACAAGTTGACTGCAAGACCACCAAAAATGTGAGGAGTATGTGCCGCTACCCTTACTAAGCGTGGCTGTTCATGACTCATCAGTGGGAAATGAGGAAGGCATGTGGAAAAGGGCACAGCACCTACTCCAGAGCCTGGTTGCATTATTTGAATAAATTTGATTTTATTTTTATTTATTTATGCATACAAGAACTGGGGTGTAGGCCAGAGGTGGAGGGGTATGAGCAGATTCAGCAGAGACAGTGGGGAGCAGAACAGAACAGGCTTATCTACTGAAATAAACTGCTAAGGGGAGCAATGGGTGATAGGAGAGGTCTGCTGCACCATGTGGGTCAGCCCCCTGGCCAGGGATCGAACTGTGCCACAGTGGGTGGCAATAGCTTCATAGCACTGAGACTTTAACCTTGTGCCACGAGAGAGGCCCTGGCTCTACCACTTTCACTTGTACAACTTGGGAAAACTTAATTAACTACCCTGTGCCTCCGTTTTCTCATTTGTGAAATAGAGATAGAAATAGTTGCCTGCTGTGGAGTTGTTATGAGGACAAATGAGTTGCTCGTACCAAAATACTTAATGCAGAGCCTGTGCCACAGTAAATAATAATAAATGTTGATATTTGATGTTGAATATGAACATTCAGTATTAAACTTTCACTTTTGTATGCTCTGTCATTTTATCTGCTTTCTTCCAGCCAATAGATAACCTCTACCTAGAAGACAGATTAAATAATACTGATGTCCTTGTCTCAGCACCTCGAGCTGTCTGTGTAGCTAGAACCTTCGCAGTGACGCTCTACTTGCTCTACCCCTGTCTTCCCCCACTCTCCCGCCTGCTCCTTCACAGCAGACATGATTAAGGCTCCCTATGGGAAGAAGGCACCCTGCTCTACACCCTGATGTCCACCTCCCCTTCATGCCTTTGCTACTTATCCTGCCCTTTATCCTCAGCTGCTTGAATGAGTGACTGTCATGTAACCTACTTCTCACTTCCACCCACTCACTTCTGCAAGGCTTTTAATGAAACTGTTTCCCAGTCAGCATGACTTAGCCACATTTGACACCATTGATTCAATATTCTCAAGAATGACTATTCTTCTGGTCTTCTGTAATGCATATAATTGAGCCACCTGCCACCAGCCAGCCAGCCATAAAGGATGACACTGTACAGCTCCTTCCTCACCTGCATTTAAGCTTTCATCTGGTGTCATTGATTCCTCCTCAGAAATAGCTCGTGAATGCACCCATGTCTCTATCCCCAATAACTGTGCTATGTGTCTCTGCCTTTCATGTATCATATAGCATATGACAGTCACCTTTTAACTGGCTGACCTAGTCAGTAAATATTTGTGGAAGGATTGAAGGAAGAGAAAATGCTTTTGAGTGCAATGAGTGAAACAAGGCACCTAGCAGACAGGAGGCAGTTTTTAAAAGATTTGACAGAGCAAACACATTCTTACCTGGTACCACCACTTTGAAGAACCATGGGCACTGTTCAGTGATGCCACAGATGTACAAACACCATGATTCTGCACCTTCTCTCACATAGGTTTTCTGGTCAGAGGATCCCTGTATATATATGTGTGTATTGAGTGTGTGTGTGTACACACATATACACACATGCACGCACATATATGCATATATACATGTACATATACACATATACGTGCATTTATATACCCACACACATATAGGCAGGGAGACATAGAAATGGTCATTGCAGCGTTACTTGTCATAGCAAAAAAATTAGAAGCAATCTAAATGCCTATATAAAGAAGACTATAAGTAAGTTGTGGTATATTATATGATGGACTACCATATAGGATTTAAAATATATAAGAACCAGACTAGAGTATATGCATGTAATAAATCTTTAAAATATTGAACCAAGAAGCAAATTATAGAGAGTATATGGTATACTGATCATATAGCATTACTGAAAAATAACAATGTCATGTATTATTTATGAATATGAAAGTTTGTGATGGTGCAAAGACCTGCCCTGGACTGGAGTGATCAGCCCTGCATTGAGGGTAGTGGTTACCCCTGGAAATGCAGAGTACTAGAAAAGCCAGGAGTGCTATACAGAGAGCTTCCGCCTGTCCCTAATATGGTTTTTATTTGTTATAAAATGTATTCATTATAGTATATTCTCTATTTTAGTATATTCTCTACTTTGCTGTTTGCCTGCAATTTTACTTTAAAATGTTGTAAGGGTAGGATGTGTCATGAAAGGCAGCACCCACATTTCACAGCCCTGTGAAGGATGCGTCCTACCTCTGGCCAAAGAGGAACAACTAATGCCTGGGAAGTGACTCATCTCAACCTTCAAATGAAGGGCTAGTCAGTGAAGATAGCCTGTGCTGGACTTTGTTATGTAGTCACTGGGCAAACATGAGGCTGGTTCGTTCATACAGAAGCCACTGCGTGAAACTCAGGAAGGACTGAAGGCAGAATTAAATTGAACCTCACTGAAATAAATGGTTGGAAATGTGGAAGCCATTTTATTGGGGGAAATGGGTTTCAAAGAATATATTATACTCAAGTACCTGTCTAATGTGCACTCTTCAAATCCTTAAAGAATCAGCTAAATCAACCATTTGCCTCTCTGCTTGCTTCTTTTTAATATTTATTTTCCTATGCTTCTCTATATTTCACATACATGTAAAACCATTCAGTATCTTTTCCTTCTGACTACCTCTGCTTTGCATAATCCTCACTAACTCTATCCATGTTGCCACAAATGGCATGAGTTTACCTTTTTTGGTCACTGCATATGTACCATATCTTCTTGACCAGTCATCTGTTTTGGGCCATTTAGGTTGTTCCATATTTTAGCTGCTTTGCTTCTTCCTCACTCTCACTTCCTGTTGCTTTGCTTCTGCTTCATCCATGCTGACATGCGTTCCTGCCGGCCTACAGGACTCTTGCTTCTTTCAATGAGAGGCCTCCCAGGTGGCACAAGGGGCTAAGTCTCAGCACCATGAAGCTGTCCACAGCACTACAGCCAATCCCTGGCCAGGGTGTTGCCCCACATGGTACAACAGACCTCTGCTCTCTTGCCCACTGCTCCCTTCAGCAGTGTTTTTCAGTCAGTCTGCCCATTCTGTTCCCCAGTGTCTCTGGTGAATCCTGTCACTGCCCTCTCCACCTCTGGCCTAGCCCCTAGTTCTTGTATGCATAAAACAATAAAAATAAATCTCCAGTTGCCATCATTTTCTGCTACACATATGGTTGTTTTTTTCCCTTATCTTTTTTTGGGTATTAGCATAATTGTAACCTCCTAAATATATTTTATTATAATTCAGCTTGTACTTTATTACACATTGAGTGCACTGAGCACCCTTCAAATTTTCTTTTGCAATATTCATTTTCCATGTATAAACTTTTAGCCATGTTGTACCTGAAACTGTTGCTAATACACTGTTTCCAGGTAGATTGTGTTTCCTGGAGCTCATGTTTGACATTTTATTCTTACTTCCTACCAGGTCAGTGTATTTAACTTTCAGTGACTATGAGAGTGTAGAGGGACTGCCTGCCTTTCGGTTCAAGGTGCCTGAAGAAACTTTAGCCAATAACACTGACAATGCTGGCTTTTGTATACCTGAAGGACACTGCCTGGGCTCAGGAGTTCTGAATATCAGCATCTGCAAGAATGGTAAGAGCTCAGTGGATGTGAGTAATGGTGTCTCAGTGGTAGGATTCGATTCTTCAACAAAGAACGTTGTCAGCACAATAGAAAAAATGATTCTGATCTTTCAAGAATAATGTTTATAATTTGTCCACAGAATGGTAAAAAAAATTTTTTTTGTGGAATAATAAAAAGTATTGGCTTTTCTATAACGTTTTTTTATTGCTAGACTGCCATGTTTTGTTTTTTTCTGGACAGCAGTTTAAAGTCATAATAATAATAATAGTCTGTACTCCTTGAGTATTCACATTTGTGAGTTCAGCTAATCACTCTGCTAGGTAGTTGGCATATTTACGTGTAGCTAAGTCAGGCAAGGCCTGAGCTGATTTCATATTCAAAACAACACTGAAGAACAACTTGGTGAGAAGAGCATACACACCTTGGTAAATATGCTTGTGATTTTAAAACATAGTGTTAAACCCTGACCGTAGAGTTCCCAGTATTTCTTACTGTCTCACGTGCTCTGTTCCTTTCAAGGAAGAAGAATGATTAATAGTACAATAGCATTTTCTTTTGCTTACAAACTCATTTTAACGGGTTGCCTAATTATTCATAATAACCTTGCTAGAGGGATAGCCAGTGGTATCCTTTAATAGTTGTGGAAACCAGAACTCAGAGACAGAACACGATTTTTCTGAAATAAATCTTCATTTCTAAGCAAATCCCTTTTAGAATGTAGTCTCCTCCTGTCCATACTGTGGTTCTTCTTAGGCTGCAGTAGTTAAAGTTTCTCTCGAGAAACTTCTAACCGCTTTCTTCTAAATAAAGTTTCCCTTTTCTCCCAAAGTGTGCTGACCTCTTCCTCCTTGTCCAGCTGATCTGAAAACCTCCTCTCAGGATGATTCAGGTCAGCAGGGTGCCTACCTCTCCTGTGTGGTGGCCAGTGGCTCCCTAACCCGTCCTGGAGAATCATTAAAAATGTCTATCCCAGGCCTTCCCTGGTGGCGCAGCTGGTTAAAGCACAGCACTAAGAAGCTAAAGCCACTTCCGCATGAGTTCGATTCCCCCCTGCCCCGGAAGAGAGCCACATGGCACCGCAGACCTTTCCTGACCCTTCCGCTGCTCCCTCAGCAGTGTACTTCGTCAATCAGCCTGTTCTGCACCCCACTCTGTCCCTGGTGAATCCTCTCACCCTCCGCATCTCTGGCCTGTTCCCAAGTTCTGTATGAATAAATAAATAATTCTTTAAAAAGAAATATCTATCCCAGGGCCCTGAGCTGTATTTTCGACATTCATTCCAGGTAATTCTCGAAGTGCGTAAGTTATAGAAACCCTGTGCCCAGGGCACAGACACCCTCACCTGGAAATAAGACCTGAGGTGAATGGTGCAGTCCTGCTGCTGATCTTCCTGCTATCTCTCTGGGTGGGTGGCCCTGAAACAGCACTGCCATGCAGCCTGCTTTTGGCTAAGGCAAATGTGTAGGCATAGTCTTCTTAACATCTTGCTTCTATCAGCTTCCCCGAGAAGCTGATGTCAGAATCAACAGAAATATTCTTTTTTACAACACTCACACCTCTCACCACAACCCCTTTCCTTTTGTCTATTACTATTCCGAAATATGAACTGAAACTTTCAGCTCCCCAGGATGAGCCTCAAGTGTTTTCTGTTTGCAGGAGAATATTGAGGATTGTGGAATGAGTGCGTGTTCTAGACCCAGGTAGATCTTGCTCGGAGGCCTCTTCTATCTGCTGCCATGTTGCCAAGTTGACTAAGGAGAGCTTTAGAGATCCATTTTCCCTTTGTAAACTGGGGATGATTACACCTTCCTTAGGTTAGAGATAATATATGTAGAGTACTTGGGACAGTGTCTGGCCCTTAATAAGCCCTCAACACATCTTTAAAAATACATTGAAAAAGTATGAAGAAGGAAGTTCCAGCTTTCTGAAACTGTTTAGGTATAAAGAACAAAGTATTTGTGTATGCAACAGATGGTATATGTTATATCTTGGTCTGTGGGCTGGTGGATATGAAAGCAAATTTAAATTTCAATAGGTTTATAATAATGTGTTTCCCTATTTGTTTCTTTAAATGAGTAGAAAAAAAAAAATCAGTCTTCATGTAGGCAGACCTCGATCTAGCCTGAAGCTGGGAACATAGCATGATCAGACAGTGCTGAAAGCTCGGTATTAACATATGCAGGAGAGCAAGTCCTATCGTAGATAAAATGGTAACTGAAAACAAGCCCTAAAAATCCATTTACTCTTAGAGAGTCATAGTTAAAACAAGTGCTTTGAGACTAAGACATTCCTCCATCTGTCACCTGATAACTGAATGTTTTGGGGTATATTTTCTGAACCTCACTTTCTACCAATGCAATATAAAGATAATTGTTCTAGCTTCATAAGGCTACTGAGCATGTAAATTAATGTGTGTAAAGCATTTATATTGTGTAAATTCAGTAAGTATTTGTTGCAGGAGACTTATGCTCTTCAATTATAAACCTCTGGGATAAAACAATGTGGGTGTGAATAAAATGTCAGAATATGGTGCATAAATCCCAAGGAGAAAGTACAGAACGGAATTTAGTCTACTCCTTCCCTAAGTTTATTTGTGTGTAGCTCCCCTCTCCCCATTTAGGCACCAAATTGGTGGTCAGGAACTTTATTTATATATCTTCAAGAACCACATCATTTATTTCTGTTTTCTTTAAAACACAGGTGCACCTATTGTTATGTCATTCCCACACTTCTACCAGGCAGAAAAGAAGTTTGTTTCTGCCGTAAAAGGCATGAATCCAAATAAGGACTATCATGAGACGTTTGTGGACATTAATCCTGTGAGTACCTGTGTCTTCTGGCAAAAGAGTATTATTCAGTCTGTACTGTACTTACCAGGTTAGTCCACAGGACTCTTAAGAAACAGACTGTCCTCCTTTCATTTATATACATAAGTGGAGGAAGCTCAGCTCAGTGCCATACAATGCATAATCCACAGCCCTAAAGTAGAAGGCTGAATTCTGTGGATCTTATATGCATGAATTCCAGCAAACTTGCTTTTAACAAGAAAACTACAGTGACCGTTCCATCATAGGACATGACTGTGATTAGATCCATGTAAGTCGGCTGGGCTTCCGTCACCAACCTTGGGCCTGAACATGGGTATAATCTCTCCCTGCGCACAGATCAGCAAGGTTGAAGACAGCCCTCTGCTTACGAACCCCAGGGATATTTTGGTTGAAATTGCTACACACACAGATCTGTGTATATATGTATTTGCTTCAGTCACTTTTTGCAAATCTCTTTCTACTTATACTTTTGAGTATAATATATATTATTCAATTAAATGTTATTAAAATATACTATTAAGTTAAAAAAGCACCAGCTAAAACATACTTTAATCCTGTATTCGTAGAGGAGAAAAACTAAAACCTTGTTAAATGCAGGAATATCACAGTGTGAGAGTCTCCCACTGCAAATGTTTAGTTCACATTTAGCTGAACTAAACGTTAGGCATCTTCATTGCTGGGCTTTTGAATGTGTGGGAAAAGAACAGGAAAGCATTCCTGTAGCACACCAATTTATTGGCGCTTTGCTTTTAGCTCCACTCATGTGCTTGTGTACCTGAGACATCAGATTTGTGTCAGATCAGGCGTTGTTTCCCTTTATTTTCTTAGTCATCAAGCAAACTGCTAGCCAGTGCTTGGCAGTGTGAACTTTAATATACTGAAACCCTTTTAAATGAGGTTAGGAAACCTGAGAGAGAATTCCCACGCATGTGCAGTCAGCAAATTACAGGACCCGACATGCCTGGCATGATGGGAAATGGGCTACCCTGAGACAAGGAAGAGGAGGCTCCTTGAGCAGAGAAGAACCTTTAAAGATTTTATATAAATTGGTGCTTGCTTTGGATATAGAAAACACTACATATCTCGCCATGAGGCTATTTCCCAAATTGCCTCTGTTGTTTTCAATTAAACTCGTCTTGTTGGTGAATAAGTGGTTGCTATTTTTTTTTAATTTATTTATTTATGCATACAGAACTGGGATACAGGCCAGAGGCGCAGGGATGGTGAGAAGACTCACCAGAGACAAAGTGGGGAGCAGAACAGGCAGACTGATGACGTACACTGCTCAGGGGAACTCTGGGGGGGACAAGAGAGGTCTGCTGTGCCATGTGGGTCACCTCTAGGGCTGGGGATCGAACTCTGCTAAAGTGGCTGCAGAATGGGGTAAAGCCCAGCACTAGGGGTTGCTTTGTGTGAGAGCTAAGGGCAGTCTCTTAGCCAGAGTGCAAAGGTGAAGCTGCCCTGGGGAAGGCCTACTGCTGCTGCTGCTCCTGGCTTGGTGCACACCATTCTCTGGCTGTGACCACCACCCTCCCCCTAGCATTCTGGATAGCCAGAGCTAAAGGGGGGTCTATTAGATCTGCCTCTTGCCAGAGTCGCTAGGACTTCGCTTTTCAAAGTGAGAGTACCCCGGTACTTGTTTTAAGTGGCCGATCTTAGGTCTTGCCCCAGCTCTACTGAATCAGACTCTATCTTAACAAGATCCTGAAGAATTCGCATGACATTAAAGTCAGAAACAGCCGTCTGCCGGGCACCTTACACCATCCCCAGTTCTCATTCTGCTCTGCCCAGCTTTCCCTTGTTCCACACTGCCTATGAAGCATGGCAACAGCTGCCTTTTTATCATAAGCACTCAGAAACTACATGTTAGGAATTGATTCAGATGCTATGTGTGGTTTTATAAGTCCTAATGTTTTCTTTTCTCTTTTCTGAATTGCAGTTGACAGGACTTATCCTGAGAGCAGCCAAAAGGTTCCAGGTCAACGTGTATGTCCAAAAAATAGAAGACTTTGAGTAAGTTGTGCTTCTTCCTATCAACAAAGACCAGTTTTGCTACATTGGTTTTCTGGTTTGGTTGATGTTGGGAGGAATACTGCTCATTTGCCAAGCCTCTTGCCCTTCAGAGACCAGGCTTGATCAGCATTTTCATAGGCTGACTTGGTCTTGGAAGTGACTCATTTTATCTAATGGAACACTTTTAGAGGCAGTGTTCTACCCTGTTTACATTTACTAGTCACTTATTCCTCACAATAAACTGGTGCTATCTCCATTTTATAGATAAGGGAATAAAGGTACAGAGAGGCTAGGTGACAAGCTGGAACTCACACAGCTACTGTAGTGTCTGCTCTTAACTACTCGACTAAGCAGTTCCCTCTCTAGGACTCTGGTTCCTTCCATTCTTCTTTCCCGCTGCTTCCACGGCCAGTCACAAGCTGTCTCTTTGGCAGTTAAAATATCTCTAGTGTCCACAGGGGTGATTTGGTGATGGGAAGCTATGGGGATTACAACTGAGAAGAAGGCATAAAATGATGTAAAAATAAACTATTATATTATCTAAAAGAAACATCTCTAGTGTCCAACCTTTTTTCCCCAAAGATACTCCTTCTTAAAAGTGTCCCAATTTAAGGGCATATTGAATTCAAGTAGGAGTAAAAGGAAGTGCAAGGTAAAGAAGTTAGAAAACAAGGAAAATTTCTAAAACACAAGTAGGCCTTGTTGTTAATCTTTTTTTAACAAAAAGATCTTATATGTATGGCAACACGTGGAATTGTTAGACTGACAGATCAGATTGAAATCTAACTGGAAAAATAGGAAAATCATTTCTAAAACACAAATAGGCTTTGTTCTTGAAGAGAAAACATTACCAACTATTCATAAAAACTGACCTGTGAGGCAAAATAGGCATACTGTATTAATGTTGTGGGAATCAACAAAAAGAAATTGTTAACATTTATAAATATAGAAGTCAATGAATTTAAAAAGATAATAAAACAGTGGTCTTGCAAACTTCAGTTATGTAATGCTCACATACTAGATATAATAATTTTTAGTATAAATCCCACTGGTTATTCTCCAGGTACGATTTTACAAATACAAGCAGTGTTTATTTCCAATTTGTAGTCCTCTTTTACTTGCGATATTTTATTGGTTAGAAACTCCTTTGCATTGCTAAATATAAGTTGTAAAATAAATATTTTTGCCTTTTTCAAAAAAAGTATTCCTATATATAATCTCCTGCTCAGACTTTTCCATGGGATTTTGTATATATGAGAAATGCTTATGATTTCATAGTGAATGAAAAGCTAATTACATTACCTATAAGTTTATTGAATCTGCCAGATTTAACCCCTTATATCGTGAATCCTTCTAAGAAACAAAAAGAAAATATGGTCTGCAAGAATATATTTCGTCAGCTGCACATTTATTTCTGAGGTGGTATCATTTAGCTGTTAAGATTTAGAGCCTTAGAATCAAAATGCAATTAAGTCCCCGTTCTACCACTTACTTGTGTGGCATGGGGCGATTACTCTGCCTCATAATTTCCTCATCTTAAACTTGGGATGGTAATGCATACATATGGATTAATGTGGGAATCAGAGCTGATAACATCCCCAAACACCAGTTCCCTGGTATGTGTCAAAAAGTGACCACTGCAGCAGGCTCTTCTGAAGACAATGTTGAATGACTGATCACAAAGCCTTCTGGTGAAGGGATAGCACTATTGTGCAACCACCCTTCTGGTTAATTTCAGGAGATCAATAATCATTTTGATTCATCTCTTTTAGCATCCATCTTGTGTTTTGATTAACAAAAAGATCTTATATGTATGGCAACATGTGGAATTGTTAGACTGACAGATCAGATTGAAATCTTAACTGACTTAGATTTCATTTCTTTATTCTGATTAATATGTGTTGGAAAGAAGTCCACACAGCTAAGAAGTCTGCCTAAGTTCTGGGTCGTTTAGTGAGATGAGTGAGATGGATGTTCATGTAAATCTGTCTCTACTGGCCTGTGCACTGTCACAATGAGGGCCTTTCTGAAACTGTCTCATCTTTTGTCTTTGTAGGGAAACGGGAGACATAAGAACCATGGTTTTTCCAGTGATGTATTTCAATGAGGTAAGAGAAAGGCCTGGAGAGAGTCACAGTGGGTCTTTCTGTCCAAACTTGAGAAATTTCCATATGTCTACAATTGTAGCTATGTTTAATTTAAAGTGTGGAAAGAGGGAAGTGGATTCTTTTTTTTTTTAAGATTTATTTGTGCATACAGAACTGGGGCAGAGGCTCAGGGGCAGAGGCTCAGGGGCAGTGAGAGGATTCACCAGAGACAGAGTGGGAAGCAGAACAGGCAGATCGACGAAGTACACTGCTGAGGGGAGCAGTGGGCGGGTCAGGAGAGGTCTGCAGCGCCATGTGGTCACCTCCGGGGCAGGTGGGAATCAAACTCATGCGGAAGTGGCTTTAGCGTCTCAGTGCAGTGCTTTAACCTGCTGCACCACCAGGGAGGGCCCGGAAGTGGATTCTTAAAAAAAGGACAATTTATGTTAACATAAGTTGCCTGTGTATGAAATTTGAGAATGACAGAAATTTCCCTTCTCAGGAACATTTTTTAGTGAAACACCCCTCTGGGAAGCTGGTTGTGTCAGAAACAGAATGCAAAGGGAAATGACGAGATGTCAAACCTTATAGAACAGGATAAAGAGCCAACACCATGCTGGCCTCTTAAAATTCTCTGCTTCTCCATCTTTGATACCTTGCCAGCATATAAAATATAGTCATCTTCTGTAATTAGTATCAGAGGGGAAAAAAAGTAAATTGAAGTAGTTAGTAACAGTGTACATATATTTTGGATTAGAGCAAAGAGTTGCTATTTGCTCAAACACAAAGAATTTCCCTAAGGCACTATGCACAATGTAGGTACAGAAACTTTATTCCTAAATATTAGATATATAATAACCAGCAGTATAAATTGAAATTTTGTAAATAAAGGTATATACTGAATGTTTAGAAAACACCCCCTGATAAATCTTTAAGATGCCTCAGATAAATCTTTTTCTAAAAGAATCACATTTAGTGTAGTTCTGTCTCCTTAAATGCCTTCTCCTTTCACCCAGTTTTGAAGGGGAAAAATGCAGGCTTTCCCCCACTCAACAGATTCTCTATTGTCTGGCTTCTGTTGTTAACAGTCACATGTTTAGAAAACTTTATTTTTTCTCTTTCCTAACAGTACATGTTTTTTGTAGAAAAATTGGTAATAGAGATTAACAAGAAAAAGGAAAGTTAAAGTCACTTGTAATAAAACCTGAGCTAGACTGGCATGCTGCTTATAACTTGCTTTATTTTATTCAATGATGTAAACTTTTTCCAACAACAAAAAATGAAAATAATTTTATTATTTTTACCAATAATAAAAAAATAATTGGTAATTTTTTACTAATGTAAGAAACTAATGTCTTATGTTTTTGTCACACATGCTCTTTATAGAACTCATGGGAGGTTAAAAAAATTTCAAAAGTGATTTCACTAATAAGGCCATCTCTCAGAGTCAAATGCAGCTCACGGCCATTGTGGCCTCTTGTTATTTTGCTGGTTTTTATATTATATAGTTGAACTCACATAGATACTTCAGCTACTGACATGTCCTTTCCTTTTCTCATTTTGTATTGTATTGGTAGTCACATTCATAGACTCTTGAAGAGTTTGTGATTACATTCCTAAGGCAAGGATTTATTGTTTTATAGGAAAAATTCAGGCAAGATTTCCAATTGATAGGACCTATTTGTGATTGCTCCTGAGTTGTGGTAATTACTGTTTGTGAGAGGGCCACGAGGGAAGGACTTTTTGAAACTGCAGAAAGGTCCTGTTCTGCCTCTTAGGATTACAGTGTAAAATATTAGAATTCCCCTACTCCCCAACATTTGCTTTGGTTTTTTGCTAAAGACTAGTTGAGTCCAGGAAGCCATCGAGTGAAACCACTAGACCTGAAGTAACCTTGGAGACCGCTCTCCCACCTGCCTTTTTCAGAGGAGACGACTCTGGCCCTATAAGCCTTGGCAGTTATTGGAAGATCCAGTCCTAGGCCCCTTCCCACTGTGTCAGGCCAATACAAATGGAACCTGAATTAGGCCAGATCTCCTTTGTGGCTCATAATTTTTATGAAGTTAAGCTCTCCAGATACTTCACCCATGACAATTTTAAGATGATACCACCTTCGTTCTGCATATGGAAAGTGACATTTTTCTGGAATACTTCCTTAATTGCAGAATTCCTTATATACACCCTCTGAAATTCAGGTTAGCCTAAGAACTTCCCTGAACACTTTTCTGTGGAGACCTCTGATTCTGACTAGTATAAATTTAGTCAAAACAGATATTCTGTCAAAAATATTAGTCAAAAATGATATTTTTCCTCATTGTCAGGATGTTTCATTAATTTATTCATTTAATCAACCAATATTTAACTGAGTACCTACTGTGTGTAGGGTGTCATACACAGTGTTGAGGTGACCTAAGACTCTCAAGGGACCTCACTAGAAGACCAGTGGGTAAAAAGATAGAAGGCAGAGTGCAAAGACAGTGAGATGAAGCACAGATAACAGAGTTTACAGCAGGTCTGAGGTGGTCAGAGAAATTTTCTAGAAGAAAGTTACGCTGAACTGAATTTTAAAAGATGAGTTGTAGTTGCCTAATACAAAAATTATTATTTCGGTGTATCTGAACTCTTCCCCTCTCTATCCCACACTATTTGAAGACTAAAACATGTCTTCAGGAGAAAAGGAGTGAGGTTAATAAGTAGGTGCCCTCTTTGGGTGCTTTAATATACAAATGGACTTTTTTTTTTTTTAAAGATTTATTTATTTATTCATACAGAACTGGGGTACAAGCCAGAGATGCGGAGGGTGAGAGGATTCACCAGACACAGAGTGGGGAGCAGAACAGGCAGAACCATGAAGTACACTGCTGAGGGGAGCAGCGGGCGGGCCAGGAGAGGTCTGCCACGCCATGTGGTCACCTCCAGGGCAGGGGGGAATCGAACTCATGCGGAAGTGGCTTTAGCTTCTCAGTGCTGTGCTTTAACCCACTGCGCCACCAGGGAGGGCCCTACAAATGGACTTTTTAAAGCATCCCTAGTTTGCTAAGAGAAGGCATACTCAAATTGTGTTTAATGATTTGGAAAAAAAAGATGTCACAAAAAAACTGTACACCCCAGATATTTATTAAAGAGAATCCTGTTTTCTTTCCCTTCTAGAGTGTTCTCATTGATAAAGAAAATGCAGGTCGACTGAAGTCTGTGGTCAACACTACATTGATTATCACCAACATACCCTACATCATCATGGCACTGGGCATGTTCTTTGGCTTGGTCTTTACCTGGCTCGCTTGCAAAGGACAGGGGTCCATGGATGAGGTGAGCAGGGTTAAAGGAACTTCCCCCTCCCTGGATAACTGTATCTGAGGAATTTAACTGTGTTTTACAGAGGGCTGTCAGCTGACAGCCCTCTGTAGCTTTATAATGAGCAAAATGATTTCATGGTACTACGGAAATGTGTCTAAGAGGAGAGATGATCAAATGGTGCTGTCTGGTACTTGAGGCACTCTTGGTGGGAATGGAATTCCCAGATGTAATCTTTGAAAACCTGAAGCAGAGAAAGAATATATGACAGTTTAGTACCTGGGCTTAGTTAGGGTCAGACTGCATAGAATCACATCCCAGTCCTGTCATGTAGTAGCTGTGTGATCCTAGGAAAGCACCCTTTAGGATTTTTCATGAGAATTAAGTGATGTGGTAAACATAAAGCACTTGGCCTAGCATTAGCATTTAGTAAGAGCTCAAATATTAGTTACATGATAAAACAGACCCAAGATGGTTGAGCAAGGCAGCCACAGACTTGCTTGGAAAGAATCCCTGATTTAACAGAAGACAACTACCCTTGAACAACACTGTATTATAAATGACTGGCACAAGGGAGTACCTGCCTGGGGGAAATAGTTGGGAGAAACCCAAGTAGTTGAGATAAACCATTAGGTTTGCCTTCCTGTATGGGCAGCTGGCCCACCCAGGGGACTAAATACCTTCAATGAGCCTTTTCTCTAGAAGCCTGTTAAGTTCTCAACATCTTCTCTGTTTGCCACAAAAGCTTTTTATCTTTTTTCTTCTCACCGCCTCAACAAATATCTGAGGCAAATGTGAAGAAATGAAATAGATTACAAGCGCCTGAATAATAATTGACTCCAGTTGCTCTGCCTTCCACATTTCCCATTGTATCCAGTCACCTTAGTATGAATTAGCCATGAGGCAACGATTTAGCCATATGTATTTGAGACTCTTAACTGCCAATCTGACATTGTACAGTCACTGAGTGTTTCATAAACGTGGATGAAAGCCCATGTGAATGTTCTTACTGCGCCTACAATAAACCATCTTCACATGTCGCTGAGTACCTACACTCTGAGACATTGTTCCAAGAAAGAAGCTAATTCTATAGCGATGCATATTCTACCACATCAACACAGAGAAAACGGGGCAGTCAGAGAGGCCTCCTCGAGGTCAGGGCTGAATGTTAAAGAACAAGAAGCAGATCAAGAGAAGAGAGAAGAGCACCTTACCATTAGTCTCTCTTCCTATACCCTTCCCCTTTCACATCTGGCAGGAGGTGGGGGTTTCCTGTACAGACACCTAACTCTGTTCTCTCTTCTGAGTCTCAGGGGACAGACGATGAAAGAGCACCCCTCATACGAACCTAACCTTGGCTTAACTTGGCAAAGCAACCACGTGAGCTATTCTGCCCTGGACCACAATGTGGAGAAACCACCCGTCTCCTCACAGGCTTCTTGCTGTTATCAAAGGGAGAGAGATGACCTGGTGCTGGCGAGGGATGAGTACTTCCTGGCCAGAGGTTGAAGGACAGACTGACATGGTTGGCCAGTAGGCTCTATAAATCCTGTGGTTCCTGACAAATTGTTTTTATGTGTCTAGCAAGTATTTAATAAACTCTTGTATAATAACTTTTTGGTTATTGGGTGCTGGTAGCTCCAGAAGTTTGTGGCCACTGTTGTGGTTAGGAGTCTTTATACCACTTGTTAATGTAACCTCATCCAGTACGCTTCCTTTCACCAAACTTTGTATCCCAAATACATACTTACCATTTTACATTGTATTCTTCCATTCATTTCACCCCCAAAATAGAAGAAATAAGAGTTCGGAACCCAGGGTAAAATGGTAGCCTCTTTGGAAACATCACTCAAATGTATCTCAATTCATTTTTTTTTTAAAGTTATATATTGCACATCATGCTAATTTTGAGTTCATAATTCCTGTAGGAAAATAGTTTGATCTTTCAAACGGGGTGGGAGTCAAGCAGGGAAGGGTTGGATGGGGGCAGGGTAGGCAGGGGAGGGGCATTGTGAGTTTGACAGTGATAAGCACCTGTGGAATTCTTACTTGTACTGTAGTGAATGGAGTGAATGCATAAATAATATTGGTGAGTAGAAGTAAGGATATTTCATATAGAATAGAACCAAATGCTAGCTGTGACATTTATGAATAGTTAACGTTTAGTTTTAGTGACTATGATCTTGGTATGGGCAGGGACATCTGGGAGAATGTAATGGTAACTGATATTCCCCTCATCACCCTTCCCAGGTATGAGGCTGTATTAATTATAATGCTATAGAATGGTTATTTATAAAATGATCTGTGAATACCATCCATGGCCTATGCTATACATAAATATCAAGGAGTTGATGCATTCCAGTGACATTTCTTTGTGGACAGTCTTCCTGGTAAATTTGAAGTTATTTTTACAAGTCCTCTCCTCAGATTCAAGTCCTTCCCGCAATCTGTTGCTCACCATCACTGACTGGAGCGCATGCCCTATTGACAGTTATTTTGCCAACAGAATGACAGTACTTCAAAATATTACAAAGGAAGTGCTTTTGCAGATTCCTGGGACCAGGAACAGGGCCACTTCTTCTCTAGGTCTCTTGGCTTTCTGTGTAACCTAAGTCAGAGGATTGAGAACCATCAAATGGTGAGGAATTCAAGTATATTTAAGGGTGTTTTTTTTTTATTCTCCAAGATTATTATTCTTTTTTCATTTTATTGAAAAACATACTTATCTGGCAAAATATTAATAGAATTTCTTAACTGGTTCATACTACAGAATTTTTTTTAAAACTGAATTTCAGTGTTAGCAAATGGAAAAAATATCATGGACTTCATTAATATACTTCTTAAATCTGTGTGACGGTAATAAATAGCTTTATATTCCTTACTTTGGTTTTCCTTCTCTCTATGTTGAAACAGTATGTAATGTCCCCTTCTCGTAGGGGTGATTCATTTAATGCTCAACTTCTCTGTAAGTAAAGATAGAACCTACAAAGCTCGTTATCTAAAATGAAAAACTAAATCAAAATATTTTGTCTTCAATAATGCCAAATATTTTGATTTTTAGGTGTTTCAATACTTAACTAGATAATTGGTGCAGCTTATTTTTTTATGTATCCTTTAATCCCCAGTAATAAAATTGATAAATCAGCATATACTCATTGATTCATGCTATTTTCAGGATGTAATCACATGTGATCAGGAAATTTATTCATATTATGAATGATAACATTGATGAAGTACAATTTTTTTAAATAGTTTTCTTTTAACTTATTTATTTATTCATACAGAACTGGGGTACAGGCCAGAGATGTGGAGGGTGAGAATATTCACCAGGGACAGAGTGGGCAGCAGAACAGGCAGATCCACGAAGTATACTGCTGAGGGGAGCAGTGGGTAGATAAGGAGAGGTCTGCCACGCCATGTGGTCGCCTCCAGGGCAGGCGGGAATCGAACTCATACGGAAGTGGCTTTAGCTTCTTAATGCTGTTTTAACCCGCTGCACCAACAGGGAGGGCCGATGAGGTACAATTTTAGACTGAATCCCACATAGGCGGGGAAACCAAAAACATTTCATGACTCTTAATAGTTACCTGGCTTAAAAGGACATCTGGTGTTTTCCTTCTGAAAAGCCTGTTGCAAATTCATAAACTGCAGTCAAGATTATAGATTAAAAATAATGAGTGGTTTTTAGGTTAAAATTTTAAGGATTCCTCATGCTTATTCTCTTGGAGCAGTTACCCTGAAAAGGCACCCAGAGCCTGACCTCCAAGTTATCATCAGGGTGTGTGGGCCCCTTGTGCTGTGAGCTTCAGCTTTGAGCAGGAGTCATCAAGACAGAGAGAGGTCACCTCACTTCTCTCAAGGGACTGTGTGGCTTGGAAATAAGCTTTATCACTTTTAGCTCTATGCTTTTCTCACCTTATTTCCTCATGTTCTAGAAAGATCACTAATGGTCAAGTGGAGCAAGTACTATATGACTAACCCCTATTGGGGTTTTTACATAAGGGAGGCTAATTTTATATTTAAATGGCTTAAGTTAGGAGTTCTGCAAAAAGTGACTTGCATACTTGTGAGGCATGACTACTGGAATTAACTGATTGTGGCTGTCAAAAATACTGAGCAGAATGCTCTTCAAGTAGCTTTAAAGTTGGTTTGCGTCATGTGGTTCTTGAGATGTTTATTTCTACACTTAATGCAATGATATGTTTTTAGTAATAAAATATTTATATGAAATTGCACTGGAAATTGTATATTATGTCCCCAGATGTCAAGTTGTCTAGAGTGTTTCATCTGAAAGATAGTCTTTGCCTCTCGTGTGTAGCATTCTCACCCCTCAGGCTGCCTCTGATCTTGGCTCTACAGATTCACAGCCAGTTGCAGGCAGCCTGACAAGCCCTGCTTCAAGTAGGCCCATGCTGCACCTTTCTTTGTGCCTTAGGTCTTTCTCCAAAGCCTTAGAAATTTTCAGGACCTGTGGAGGGAAGTTGGTGGCTTATACCTCCAGGTATTGATACCCAAGCAAAAGGGGCAACAGTGAGCTGATAAAGTTCCCGTCCTAACAGGTTCATGGTACAGGTCTCCTCAAGTAGGATTGCCCACATTGGGAACTGCCTTCTACTATCATTTCTGCATTCTCTGTTTCACTCCTTGTCTCCTCCCAAATAACCTATGTGCACCAATGTTCTCATCACACCTACTTCCAGGTGAAATACAGACAAGTCTACCTAAAGGCCCAGCAGGATCAGAGAGTGATTAACGAGGTACAGGACTTTTGTTGCTGGAGATGTTAAGTCTAAAGTTATTAATTCAAAAATTTAGATGACTTTTTTCTTAGATGAATCTCTTTTAAAACCTTTCCCATCTCATTTGTTTTTCCAGCTAAGACAGAAGGGATGACTTATTGAATGTGTGTAATATTCAGCCAAAACTAAGAATAGAAACTAGTCCAGAATGTCACAGATCCAAGATTCTCCATAGTAGCGTACAGTGCAGCAATTTGTACCGGCACCCTGGCTTCTGGCATTCTTCGTTTCTGCTCCTGTGGCTTCCATGGAGCACAAGCTAGAAGTTCATCTGGACCTCTGCCTCGTCTTTCTTCTGCTGCCTTCAGCTTGTGCATTTGCACCTGGTGCACTGGCTCTCACAGTGTGGAGGCTTGAGAGAAGATGGCAGCAGCACCCAGTAATGGTGCACTTTTTTTCTGAAATCAGAGCAAATCTAGGTCAGTCATAAAATAGCTATGTTACCAATGACCTTATATATTAAGGACTCCTAGTCCCCAGCATCTACGCTTTCTATGAATCTCAAATCTAATTTTAGTTGGCTTCTGTCATAAAGGAAGTTCCTTGTAACTATTTCTGCTTATTTAAATGTATATAGAAACACTTGAACCTCCATAACATACCAAGCCTAATTATTTCAAATGAAAGAAAAAAATCCAGAAAATACATTTAAAAGAATACTGATAAAGGGTGACATGTACAGACAGGTGTAAAACATACATGCATGAACAATAATTAGCAGTGTGATATAAGTTGAGTGGTAGAGAAGACAAAGTCTAGAAACATGGATGCATATATTTCATACACTATGAATTGAACTACTGGTGACCAAAAAGAAAAAGGGAATGTCTGGTCTAGTTGGGAAAGTAGCCAAATAATCCTAAGTGTTTAAGTCTCATGATGCTCTGGAAACTACAGTCAAGGTAAAGCTTCCTGAGAAATAACATTTGACAGAGACTGAAGAATAAATGTTCATTAGGCAAAACAAAGCATTTTAGAGGGAACAGACTCGTCCCAGAGCAGAATGAATGTGTTTACAAGTGACAGGGAAAAAAGTGGTTTGGCTATGGCTTAGAAAGGGAGGAACAGTGGAAGATAGGCTTGGAAAGGAAGACAATGATGAGGTCACATTGAGTCTTGGGTTAATTTTTTGCCTATTTGCTCTTAAGTCCAACTAAGTCTTTTAAATTGGGTTGTGTCGGAGGAATGGGAGACATTGAGTCTTGGGTTAATTTTTTGCCTATTTGCTCTTAAGTCCAACTAAGTCTTTTAAATTGGGTTGTGTCGGAGGAATGGGAGACACAACTGGTTTGTTTCGGAAGACCCACCCTGGTAGAAGTGACTCTGTGCAGCAAACAACTAGCCTTAAGCCAGCTCCAAAGGCAGAGCAAAAATGCATGCGCTCTGGAAGAAAACCTCTGGGTGACCGGGCCTGCTTATGAGTGCCCGGAAAGTGACCTGTGAGGAGTCATGCCCCTCTGCTCCCAGAAGTAGATGATTAATAGTTTGTTGACTAAAAGGAATATCTTTGCTCTGGACAAGGATTGATAGATATGTAAACTGAGGCCACCTGGCGTCTAACTGTCTGCATTAGGTTAGCAGTCATGCAGATAACTGTTGTATGGTATGCTTTGAAGATTACACTTTATGTACTTGAAATGGAATATAATGAGCACTGAAACAATAAAGATACACTGCGTGCTGGACATAGCAGCTCCCCAGTGTCTGATTTCCTACAGCCCCGTGTCCCAAGTCTCAGACTTACTAGATGTCCACACCACCCCAGCTGTGGGATGAACCAATTGGAAAAAGTTAATACAGATGTAGGGAGGCCAGTTAGGAGATTGATTTGCCAATGAGGCAGGTCCCTTTGGGTTCCCATGATGCTTATCTGGGCATCATGCATCAGTCTCCAGAGCAACCTCCGCAAATTCACATAGCATGGGTTAAGTAATGGGCTTATTGAGGAAAATAAAAATG